CGGGGGAGCCGCTGGCGGCAGTTACCCCGAGGTGCGGTTGCAGCCGGCGGGTGGGTTGCCACGCTTGCCCTCCTGGAGGGAAGCAAGGCCGCGGAGCTGGGGGGGACAGGGCTTGCAGGAGGGCTGCGCTGGGCCGTGCCTGGCTCGGGTGCCCCTCCGGCTGGGCGGTGGCCCCGGGGCAGCCTTCCTCTTCCCCGTGTGGTCATGGAAAAATCACCAGTAATTTCTGGAAACAGAAATTTTTCCTGGTGTATGCTGAGTGAGAAGGAGGCGGTCTGAGGCAAGCTAGCGGATCGGGAAGAGAAAACCCAGCCTAGGACGGGAAAGCAAGGCTTCGAGTAGCAATAAGGAGTGGGGAGCAGGTGAAGAAGCAGCAACACTACTGCATGGTGGCGTTGCTTTTGGTTTAGGTGTGTTAACTACCAGTAGGTGATCCTGAAAATACCATCGCTGTAAGTGACAAGGACAAAACTGTTCTGGTAGCATCTCACAGAATCAGAGGTTGCCCTAAAACTAGGGCTTTGGATAGCTCTGGCACTTGGGAGTTTGTAGCCTTCGCCTTTCTCATCTCTCAAACGTTCTTAGACTGGCAAGGATTAACAGAGATCTCCAGCCTTGGCTCGGGCTATTTAGATTCCTTTAGCGATTCTGAAGTGAAAAGCAGGTCCCTCAGGCCACTGGTTTGTATCACTTAGGAGCTAAAGGCATTTTTATTTTAAGGCTGCAGTTGGAAGAGATTAAGCAAGCTTTGTGTTTGAGTTGAGTCTGGTGATATTTCAGAGTGATGATGCGATGATGAGTTTTGGGGACAATTTGTTGCATTATCTCTGAATGTAGGAATTAGGACTGGCTGTTCTGAAATGGATGATTCAGAAAGACTTAGTGATCATTCCCCTGTGTAGTAGATGCTCAAGCTGAAGTGCTGCCCTGCGATCGTTTGAGAGCTTCTATCTTCTTACACCAGGCCTGCTGCCTTAACTTGAAGTCTCTGACGCTTTGCCTT